CCACAAAAAAAAAAAAAAAAAAAAAAATTACAAAAAGGGCTGAGGATGTGGCTCAGTGCAAAGTCCCTGGATTCAGTTGGCAGTATGAGGGGCGGTGGTAGCCAGTGTAGTTGGACAAGCGAGAGCACAGGCAGAGGCAGCTCCCACAGAGCAGGAACTTCTTCCTGTGGGTCCAGCCTCACTCCTGGGAGGGCCAGAGCTCCAGTCTAGAGCCCAGAGTGCCGCTGAAGTGGAAATGAGGACCAGTTTCTCCTGCCCAGGCTCTGCGGTTATCCCCCCTTCTATGACGAGAATGATGCCAAACTCTTTGAACAGATTTTGAAGGCCGAGTACGAGTTTGACTCTCCTTACTGGGACGACATCTCTGACTCTGGTATTTTGGAATTTGCCTTCCTCTCTTGGGCCCTGTTTGTGGTGCCTTCCTCATCTGCTCTGGTTATCTCCCCATTGCCCTCCTTCTGTCTAATGCCCCAGACCCAGACAGTGAGCTTAGACTCCCATCTGTGTGGCCCCACTCTGAGAAGTGTGTAGGTATTCATTCAGTCTTCAAACATAGTATTTTTGAAAATACCTGCCCCCTACCGACTTCCTAATGCCTAAAACACCACCATGAACATTTTCATCCCTCTATTTGTGTCCCCTATTCAGGGCAATCCTGTGAAGGCATTATCAGGTGTGAATACACTGAGTAGTCTTCTGGAATGTGCTTGAGGGAAAGGAGAAGGCTGCAAGGCAGGGTGGGCATGAGGGCCATGGAGGATGGGGTGCTGCATGGACAGACCTGGCCTTGTCTTGCTGTGTGTAGCGAGTACTGTCCTGCGGGCATGAGTGCTATTCTGGGGGTGTGCATAGGCGCTGCCATGCTGTGTGTCTTTGCTTTTATCTCGGGGGTTCAGCCAAAGATTTCATCCGGCACTTGATGGAGAAGGATCCAGAGAAGAGGTTCACCTGTGAGCAGGCCTTGCAGCACCCATGGTGAGGTCCCCCAGGTGCTGTGGGCTGGGGAGTTGCCTGGCCCCAGGCCAGCCTCTGCCCTTACAGGCATCCTGCACAAATCCCTCAGGATTGCAGGAGATACAGCTCTTGACAAGAATATACACCAGTCTGTGAGTGAACAGATTAAGAAGAACTTTGCCAAGAGCAAATGGAAGGTGAGCCACAGCTTTGGTCCTCGGTCCCATCCTCCCCAGGGCTCCTTCCTGTCCCCATCAAAGCTCAGCCTGGAGCACCCAGCACCCCGCTGGGCAGAAGTAACTAGTCAGGGATGCTTTCCAAAGGACCTGACCTGTCTGTTCATTCATTCATCCATTTCCCCCTTACACTCAATTCCAATGGAGAAGGTCTGTTCCTCAGGAGGCATCTGGGAAAGACCTGTCATGCAAGTGGGCATCAGCCAGGCAGAGGGAGCAGGAGTGCCAAGGGCAAGGGACAGTGGCCACTCAGGAAGTGCTGGTGCTGGGTGGAGGTGCGAGGGCACTGAGCAGCAGCAGCTCAGGCTGGAGACACCAGGTTGGGCCAGGTGGCTCAATTCCTTGAAAGCCACAGTGGAGCCTCAAGTTGATGCAGAAGGTGCTGAGGTGTCCCAGGATACAAAGCAGGAATTCTCTCTTAGAAGGGGCTCTCAGGATGCAGAGACTGGCACACAGTGAAACCTGGGAGACCCTGTGAAGGCTGTGGCAGAGATGCTGAGGGCCTGAGCCAGGGCAGTGGAACGGGATAGACAACAGGGGCCGAGAACAGGAGTCCTCTAGGAAGCAGTCACAAGAAGCAATGGCGGACTGGACGCTGAGGGAGTAGAGATGTTGATGGCCAGCCCAAGCTGTCGAGGGGCAGAGCGGGCAGAAGGACCATCACTTGGGAGGGTTTTCCCAGGACAGAAACATGTCTGGAGGGGATGACTTCAGTTTTGGATATGGTGAATTTTACCACTCCAGCATAAAATGAACAGAAAATGATACACACACACTCACACATACATACAGGTAAGTAGCCAACATTTCTGTAGTTCAGGTTCCTCCTTTGAAATTAATAGCAGTGGCTGGGGATTTAGCTCAGTGGTTGCGCCGCTTGCCTCGCAAGCACCCAAGTTCCAAGTTCGATCCCGGATACAAAAAAAAAAAGAAGAAAACAATTACTAGTAGTGGTGCTCAGCTCAGTTTTGTGAGGATTAAATGAATGCCATGCACGGGCCGACACGAAGTGCTGCGCAGTCTTTGCTGTCGCCTGTGAATGTGAAGTGTAGTCATGTCTTTACACGTTTTATGTATCTGTGTGGACATGTAAGCATGTGACTGACTTCACAGAGCACTGTAGAGGTTTGGGGGTCCCGAGGCATCACCACATAACCCTGAATGAAAGAGCCACACTGCCCCGCCCTCCGAGCTTCCCCTCCCCTCAGGAGCCCCCTGTCCCCACAGCAAGCCTTCAATGCCACAGCCGTGGTGCGGCACATGCGGAAGCTGCAGCTGGGCACCAGCCAAGACGGGCAGGGGCAGCCGCGAGCCCTGGGGAGCTGCTGATGCCCATGGCTGAGGGCAGTCAGTGAAGAGCCTGGGCCGGAGAGGTGGGCAGCCGGCAGCCAGCCGGCAGCCCGCTGTGCTCCCTCCCCAACGCAGGGCCTGCTGTAGAGACTGCTGTGTGGAGCCAGGCCCAGACCTGTCATCCACACTAACACCCAACTCTAAGCCCAGTCTAGTGTCAGGGTTTCCTTCCTGGGGAGGTTTGGGGGCAGCTCACTCCCTCCCCTTCCCTCCCTGAACTGCCCCATGCCCTCCTCTCCTCCCTTTCCCTCCTCACTGCATTTTTTTTTCCTCACTGCATTTTCCATACGAATGTTTCTATTTTATTGTTCCTTCTTGTAATAAAGAGAAGAAGATAAAACCATACAGTTTTGCCTCCCCAGAAACTCCCCACCCCACCTTGTGCAAACTGACTGCTTGATTTGGAGGTGCCTTGCCCCTGAGGTAGTTGCAGGGATTCCCCCCACACCAGTGTAAGAAAGGATGGGGCTGGGAGGAGCAGTGGGTGACAGGAAGTTATTTGGGGAGTTGCTCTGCTCAGGCCCCCTCCTATACTTCTGGCTCTGTGGACTGCTTTCTGAGCTTTGCTGGTGGCTCCAGATTATGGTGTGGCTGGCGCAGATCGGCACAAAACAGCACCTGTGGGAGGGGCATAAGGAGTCTGTTGGGGGAAGGGTGCACTGGGTCAGGACTGTTGGAGCTGTTGACAGTATGGGGAGGTAGAAGAGGCCACAAGGGTCAGGACTGGGTGAGGCTAGAGAGTCCCTTAGGCTCACTGGGGCAGTGGTGGCAGTGGGAGAGTTCATGGGTTAGGGGCAAAGAACCCTATGGAGTCTGGACTAGAGACCAGGGGAAATCTGGGTGCACTCACTGCTTGGGCCCAGCCAGCATAAGGTCCCCACAGGCACCGGAAGAAGTTTCCTAAATCAGAAGCAAGAAGGCTACATTAATTAGCCCCACTGGGCCCCATCCACATCTCTGTGCAGTGCCCAGTATCCCACTTCTCACCCAGTTCCTTGTTGGCCTGAGGACTTGGACCCTTGGCCCGGGATGTGCTGGGGTGCCAGCTGTAGTCACGCTGTGCGATCTGCCACACGTGGATGTCCACGGGCACAGCCTGCGGTTTGTCTAGGGCCATTAGGCAGATGCAGTCAGCCACCTTGGAGAGAGAGTGGGCATGGTGGAGGGATGGCAGGACCTGAAGCCAGCTATTCCTTCTTTACTCTGAGGTTACTACCGTTCTATTCTCAAAGGATATACGTCACCTATTAATTATTCTAGACATGCTCTAAGAAGAGCTGCTGCTGAACATGCCCTAACGTGGGCCGAGGTCTCAATCTGGGGGAGCAGATGAGGAAACTAAGGTCCTGAAAGATGAAGTGATTTGGCCCAAGTCACACTGCTGGGAACAGGCAGTACCACGATTTAATGTTAGGCCTGTATCCAGAGCCCATTAAAGAAACTAAATGAAAATTCATTTTTTAAGCTACAGATAAGTATAAGGAAGACCAATTTCAAATTTCTAATCATCTTATTGCTAGTTAACCTGTAAGGACATGTAATTTCAAGAAAAGAAGAAAGTGAAGTTTTTCTCCCCAAAGATAGGCACTGTTAACTTCCCTGCCATTCCTTTTGCAAACTGCTGCATAGAGATGGCAGCATATGTAATGCACCTACGCAATGACCTTTCTAAAACTTCATTAAACATTCACTCTTTATCTTTCTGCACTCTTCTCTCAGGATATGTTTGTACCCTTTTTCCTTCTGGCTCTGCCTCTGGAAGCCAGGCCTCCACCCACTCTCACACCTGCCTTTTTGGGGCTCACCTTGGCGCCCACCCCAGGCAAGGTGCAGAGGGCTTTGTGGGCCTCCTCGTAGGGGACCTCTCGCAGCTGCTGCAGCCAGGCTGGTCCACCCCGTTCCTCCAGGATGGCTCGGGCGCTGGCACTCACGTATCGGGCACGGTAGCCCAGGCCCAGCTTCCTGAGGAGAGCCTCCACCTCTGGCCCTGTGCAGAGTGGGGTGGAGAGCAAGGCTCAGGGCAGTGTGTGAACCTCCATTCCACAGGCGTGCTTTCCCTAAATGTCACAGCCCTCTAGGGGATGGGGCACTTGTATGACAAAGCAAAGGGTTAAGGAAGGCCTGGCTTTTTTGGGTGTGTGTATGTGGGGGTCTCACTATATACCCCAGGGTGGCTGGCCTTGAACTCATGGTTCCTGCCTCAGCCTCCTGAGTGCTCAGATCACAGGTGTGCACCACCACACCTGGCGAGTTCCTTAATTTTTCTCAAGATTGCTAGCCAGGTGTGGTGGCACACATGTAATCCCAGGACTTGGGAGGCTGAGGCAGGAGGATCGCTCTGAGTTCTGGGCTAGATACTGAGTCCCAGGTCAGTCTCAACTACATAGTGAGACCCTGTCTCAAAAAACAAACAACAAAAAAACAAGATTGCTCATACCCATAATCTTAAAAAAAAAATAATAATAATAACAGCAAAAGCTTCTATTATCAAATGCTGGCAAAGCGCTTAGGTACATTATGTTTTTTTCCCAAGAACCCCAATGACAGCACTGCTGTTTTCCCATTTAGAGAAAATGAGACCTTAGAAGAGGTGAGTTAATCAAGAAAGGGCGCAGTAGAGACAGGGGTCTTGCCCTGGGACACCACTGCTCTATTACTCCCAACATCCTTCCAGATGAACACTGTTAGCTGAGTGTAGTGGCACACACCTGTGATACCAGCGCTCTGAGAGCCTGAGGCAGGGAGATTGCAAATTTGAGCCCATCCTGGGCAGCTAATGAGATCCTGTACTAAAAAATTCAAAAGAGGAAAAAGGGTTGGGGATTATCTCAGTGCAAAGGCTCTGGGTTCAATCCCCAGTACTGCCAAAACCCACACCTGAAACAAAAACCCAAACACCGTTATTTCCACTCTACAAACAAGGTTGCAGTGCTAAGTGAATTCTGTGAGGCCTTATAACTACTAAGCCAAGAGCTAAAGACTATGCTTCTAAGCACCAAAAATGTCTTTCTCTCTCTTTTTTTTTTTTTTTTGAGATAAGGTCTCACTATGTAGTGTAGGCTGGCTTCAAACTTGCTGTGATCCTCCTGCCTCAGCTTCCCGAGTGCTGGGGTTCTAGGGATGTACCACTACGCCCAGCCATAATGTCTTTTTTTTTTCCCCCCTGAGGTGGGCTATCTCCTGGCTGTGCAGTCTCCAAGCACTCTGCTCTGCTTGGTTCTTATAAATGCCCGCTGATTTCCTTGCCTCTGTGAAACAGTGTTGCTGTGAAGAGCATACATGCATTTTGGGTGCAAAATTGTGATTCATTGTGGTGATAGCATCTTGAATTTTCTTTTTTTTTGGTACTGGGGATTGAACTCGGGTCCTTGTGCTTGCGAGGCAGGCCACCAAACCGCTGAGCTAAATCCCCAGCCCAGCATGAATTTTCCATATACTGCCTGTGTGCTTGCTGAGCACTTTGCTGGGTGCAGGGTGTGTCTCCATTCCACCTTATGACATCTTTGGCAAGTAGGTGCTGTTATTATCTCTCTGTGGATGCAGCCACAGAAGCATGTGAGCCAGGGACAGAGCTGGAATGCGGTCTGAATCTGGAGCACAGGTGCTGACCCCTCCAACTACTGAACAGTATACACAGATGTTTCTCTGATGAGGCACTGGAGCTCTGGCAAAAAGCACCGTATAGTGAGGACCTGACACTTGGGACACGTGGGCGAGGTGTGATGGGTGGATCAGACCAGGCAAGGTGGTTCTGGATGGGGCAGTGTCAGAGGTGGGAGGTGGTGACCAGGCAGAAGGGCTCTACCTACTTACCAGCCAGGGCCCGCAGGCTGGGAAAGCCATGGTAGGTGACACCATCGAGCTGGACAAGCCGAGGGCCAAGGGCCTGGCAGAGCCGCTCCACCATGCCAGTGATCCGGGCAATGTTGTTGTTGGAGGAACAGATGAAGGAGAAAAGGCATTCGATGGGGTCCTGGCGCAGCAGTCGCACCCCTGGACACCAGAGGGAGATCCCAGGAGAATGAGGGACAGCTTTACTTTAGAAAATAACCCCAGGCCACTCATTCCTCATGCACCTTGTGAGGTCTGGATTACTACTCCAGTGAAATCACAATGTAAGTCCCACTGGGGCAGAGGTTTCCATCCATTTTGTCCCCTGCTGTATCACCAGTCATATATTAGATGCTCTTATAGCTTTACAAAATGAATAAAGTCACCTGCCCCAAGCCACACCACCACTTCATAATGGATGAGGTAATGTAACAAGAACAATGTGCCAGGCACATTGTTCCTTTACTCCTCCTACAAGCCTACTAAGTAGAAGTCCCATTTTACAGACGACCAGTGCACAAGCACCCCAACGTCCGCAGGGCCTATCCTCACCTTGGAATTTCCCAGCCACCTTCCGGAAGTGGGAGTCCACAGCACCCCAGCGGCTGTACAGCTGGGCCAAGCTGACATCCAGCTGGAAGTACTTGTGCACGGCCACCAGCTCCTCCGGCGTGGGCCTACCTAGCCAGCCCGGGTCCCCGCGGTACACCGTACAGTGCAGCTGCTCCTCCGTCTGCGTCAGGGTCCACACCTGGTCCGCCAGCACGCCGCTCCAGTGTGCTGGGCTCCGCTCCCTCCACCTGCGCCCCGGTGCACACGGCCTTCACATTGCTTCCCTCCTCCTGTCTCTCAGACGCCCCCTCACTAATTAGTTCATTCACTAAGTACCCATTAACGGTGGTTACCTCTGCACCTCACAAGGTTGCAGACTTACTACCTTCATTTGATAAAGCAGCGCTTATTTCCTTTTCTGTGTCCTGAGGTACACTCCCACTTGTCACCCCCAACATTTCCTTGCACCCTGGCCGGCAGCACAGAGCATGGGAGGGGCCTCCCAGGCACAGCCACTCACCGGAAGGACTGTCCAGAAGCTAAAACCAGGTCCAGGCGCAGCTCCGCACGTGGACACGGGACAGAAGCCCAGAGGCCCGGGCTGCCGGCCAGAGTGCGGTGCCCCATGCTACAGGTAGAAAGGAGCTGGGGCTGCGACGCCAGGCCCCGCCCACCCCGACTCCTCAAGCAGGTCCTCAAGCGTAAGACCCGGCTCTCAAGATGAACACCCTTCGCAGGGCCCTCCCCTCCCTACAAACCCTCGCTCCTCCCACTCGTCCCCTGAGGCTTTCCAGCGGCGCAGGCCCCTCCTCCGCACCTATTCCGCCAGCGCCGCAGCGAGTGCACAGGTTGTCCTCATGGTTTGTCATACCGGAAGTAGAGCCGAGGCGCCGTCATTTGATCCAGAGGCAGCCAGTCCGAGGGGAGGCGCCAATGAGGAGTGGGCCTGGCTCGGGTGGGCGGGCCTTGCCGAGCGGAGGGTGCGCTCTGGGCTGCTACGTCTTTCTGCTCTTGTCCTGCTGGAGCTCCTCAGGGTACCGCGAGTCTAGCGCATGTTGAGTCAGAAATGCGGCCTCCTTCGGTTACCTCCGGGGAAGTCCTCAGCGGCCAGGGTCTCTCCCATTCCTGTCTCCGCGAGATTCGCCCTCGCCTCTCTCCTGTAACCCGGTGTCCCCAGTTTGGCAGAGGGCGTCTCCAAGCCAGTGCTCGTGCGCATGCGCCGGCCACCAGGACGAGGAACATGTGGAAAAACCACGGACCGAGGAGACATAAACTTGAACATGACTCTGGGACATCGTTCACCTAGCATAGTGATTTGGGGGTCACTGGTAGGTAAGCTATTTGACTATTTCTTTCTGTTTTTTGGTACCGGGGATCGAACTTGGGGCCTTGCGCTTGCGAGGCAGGCAGCGGAACCACTGAGCCAAATCCCCAGCCCTTAGCCGGGGAGTTCTTAAAATGACAAGATCTGCTTTATCTTGCAGTCTATCCGCAGGGCGCACCAGTTAACAAGGTGCACTGAGCATAAATATTAAACCAATGGAGTCGTCTGTTTTACTCCTCAGTGGCTGCAAGGCCTTGGGCGACCATGTTTACCTGTGACTGTCCCATGGATTGCTGTACCACCCGCGGGTACCCAGCACCTGGAAAGCACTCCTTCAATAAATACTGGTTGGACTGGAAATGACGACAAAGTTGGGGGTGAAATGAAAGCAACTGTACATCCTTGCTGTCTTCCCAGTGAAACAAAGGCGAAGGGCTCAGCTATAGCGACTGAAAGCACTTAGGCCAGGCTCCTAGGAAAGAACTCAGAGCTACTGAAATCCACAGAGCAATCCGTAGTGGACTCTTCTTCATCTGACAGTTGGCCAGCTTTGCAGTAAAATAGACCTGATCTTAAATCCTAACACTTGGACTTCCTAGTTGTTACTTAAAATTTTCTAAACCTCAGTACTGTTGTGAAGATAATCAGCCTATTAACACACTTCATCGGTACTATAGGGATCATATGATAGTGTCTATCTAAAGGTACTAGCATAGGAGGAAATAGGGGCGCTCATTCTTTCATCTTTGCCTTTATTTGTTTGTGGATTGAAACCAGGCACTTCACACCAAACTCCATCCCCAGCCAAGGTCTAAATTGCCCAGGCTGAGCTCTGAGTTGGAATCCTCCTGCTGCAACCTTCCAGAGTGCTGGGATTACAGGCATGTGCCACCACACCCTGCTGTTGTGTTTTATAACTAGCATACAGCAGTCAGCAGCCCAATTATAGACCATCCCGAGGCACAGACCTGAGTCTCTTTGCCCTGGTAAAGGCAAAAACAAATAACTCTATGTAGACTGTTTTATTTTCTAAGAATCAATATATTTTCTTCCTTTGAAATAAATACAAACCAGTTTGAAAGGTAGGGGGAATCTACGGGAGAGAGAAAAGTGGGGACAGGGGC